CTCAAGTTCGCTTTGCCAGACCTGAAATGCCACTAGTGAATAATCAAGGTAATGTTTGCCATCATTTTAAATGGTGAGTATACTCTTATTCTGCATTACCCAGTAGTAGATTAGACAGATCGTTCGGAAAGCTGTAGGTTAAATACTCAGTTATTGCACTCATTGTCTCTTTACCCTTCTAAAAACTACGCAAACACTTTTTCGGTCTCACACTCTTCTTTTCAAATACTGAATTATTGTAGTATTTAAAAGAGCAAAAGAGATCATCCCTGGGTGGCATTTTGTTTATTCCTTAATCTCACAAATATTTTTGACCTTACTGCTGTATTTCACCCTTTTTCTTAAACACGCGTCTCATTTGAGCCCCCTTTGCATCAAAGAGTTGGAGGCACCTTCCAGCTGCTGTCATGGTGTAAAAAGCAAAGAATACCCTTTTTGGGGAAGGGGAAGGAGTAAGGAAGGAGAGGCAGGCACGTTTCATGCTATATTGGTCAGAGGAAGTCTGATCTCCTGTGCTCTGAGCAACAGCTCTCCCAAGGGTTTGGTGGCGTTCAGGTGGAGGATTTTTTTCCGACTTGTGTTGCAAGGGGAAGAGGGAGAATTGCCACAAAGGCTGTGGTGCCCAGGGGCTCCCCTGAGCTCCTGTGGCCAGGGGATCATTTTCTTGTTGGATGGTCTTCAAGTGTTGGTTTTCCACGTAGCACATGATGCAGAGACACACTTGTAAATAAAGATCTTAGATGCGTGCTGTGAAATGCTGCTAGCAGAAGGCCCAGATTTGGCACTAAAAACCCCCTTGTGGATAAGAAAACCAGGCTCGTCTATGGCTTGGGTACAGCGAATTCCTTTAAGCGATTAGAGAACTGGCAGGGAGGGAAGGGAGGGGGTTTGGTTATCAGCGTGCTGGTTCCTACGCTGCGCACGGCATCCGCGGCTGCTGGGGGAGGTTTGCTCTGAAGGCCAGGGATGTGACTGAGCTTGGGGCAGCTGTAGCTGAACACTGAGCTCACTTGGGACAGTCTCACCTACAGGTCATCCTATGCACGTATGCCCCTCTGGATGTCACCCTGAGCCCACGCAAGGCGCTCGTTTCAGCAGCGACACTTGCATCCATCCTTTACAGACACCTGCGGTCAGACATTCGGGAACAGGCAAATCCTTAATCTGTCTGGCCCTCAGTTTATGTAACTGCCTAACAAAAACAACATATGCCCCTGTTTGCAAGCAACAGCCTGGACTGGTGCAAACGGTAGCGATTGAGGCAGCCCCTGGGTAGCCTGCACGAAGAAAGAGCAATCTGAGGCTGGCACGTTACCCCCTCTTGTCCTTCATCTCCTCTCCTGTTGTCCACCCAGGGCCCTGGCTGAAGGGGACTTTCCTTTAGCTGTGGCTGTTAGATAAGGGCTCAGGAAAAAGGGGAAGAGTGTACAAACAAGCAAACAAAATGACAACCTGTCCAAAATCCTTTCCACCTCTGAAGAGTCCTTCACTATCATTTATCCTTGAAGTGATGCTGTTTTGCTAATTCTCTGGTCACGGTAGTGTGGCCAGGCTTGATGGGACCTGAATCCAATAAAGAGGCTACAGCTAAAGTCCTCCTGGGGTGCTCCCTCCACATACCTAAATCCCTCTTCGACATGCAATGACCAGGATGGTTTGAACAGGACCAGGCTGGGTGGCTCCTGAGCTGATGTCTTGTCATTGGGGAACTGCCCAGCAATGGGCTTTGCAAGTCTTCTGCGTGAAGAAGCCACAGGCAGTACAGGCTCATAAATACAGTAGCGTGCACATTGCCTTTAAAAAGGATGGAGAAAGGGCAGAGCAATTGCAGTTCGTGCTGTAGTTTGGTCTGTACATGAAAGCCTTAGAGGCTGCAAAAAATAAAAGCTTGACACTCGCTGAAGCTGATGCTTCCTGGCATACCGCCTCACAAGCCTGGCTTAATAAAAACATCCAGGGGGAATACAGCTGTAGTGGGCAATCGTGCACATTGCCTTTAAAAAGGATGGAGAAAGGGCAGAGCAATTGCAGTTCGTGCTGTAGTTTGGTCTGTACATGAAAGCCTTAGAGGCTGCAAAAAATAAAAGCTTGACACTCGCTGAAGCTGATGCTTCCTGGCATACCGCCTCACAAGCCTGGCTTAATAAAAACATCCAGGGGGAATACAGCTGTAGTGGGCAATCGCTGTGCTGCAAACTGGCAGGGGGAGGCAGCCTGGCGGCTGGGAGCTTCCCCCTCCAGCAGGAGTGGGGGGCAAAGCCTGGCCCTTGGCCCTTGGGGCCAGACCCACGCACAGCAGCAGCAGCAGCAGCATCAACATGATCCCAGCAGGGCTGTAATGGAGGCGGCTGTTGGTAAAACTCTTGGTGTCTTGTGTCTTGGTGAAAAAAGATGTGAAAGGATTATGGTTGTGTGGGAGCCAGGGAACTGCAGCAGGAAAACCAGTTGGTGGCAACACCGCCGTTTCCTGGCAGTGACTACGTGGAGAGCTGGCTGGTGTGGCTGCTCGTTTCGTGAGCGGCAGGTAGGACGTGCCTGTGAGAGCAATTACAAAATGAGCTCCGCCTTCAGTTCTTCCTCTCTGAAGGGTTTATTTCGCAGATGTCTTCTTGACTGGATGTTTTTCCCCATAAAAACTCCTGTCCATGGAGGCTGATGTCTCCCATTCGTTTTGTTCTCTGATTTCTCCCTGAGAGCTTTCTCCTTCTCTTCCTTGTTGTACATCCACCTGTGTGGGGCTAATGTGAAAAGACACCCCAAGAGCCACAGGCCTCCCATGTCAGGCTGATAAAAGGACAAAGTGGCTGCTCCCACCAAGCACAAGGCACTACGGTGACTGTCTTGAGAATTGGCAAACCAGTAAAAACTCTGCTGGAGGTGCAGAGTATCTCATCTATGATGAGATGATGAAGAAAGCAGTTGAACAATATCCCTTAATTTGTTTTTCCTCATGTTGTTCTGCCATTTAATGTGTTTTTAAATCCTGTCCAGCACCCTCAGCAGCTGCAAGTTCCCCTTGCAGTGCTGCACCCGCTCACGGCTCTGGTGGAGAAACCTTAGGTTGAACGAACAAAGGAAAGAAAGAAGCAAAAAGCATGAATCTCACGTGCCCCAGGCAACTAACCCATCTCCCCTGCCCACTGCCGGGCTGGCATACACTGCCCCCGCTC